ATGACAATATTACGGTTTTATGGTTACGTTCCTAATAATATACTTCATGAAAAAAATAAGTACTGAGAATATAATTTAATATGTAAAGCAAAGCATATTTTTAATATGTTTACGTGGAAACGAATTGATCTTTTTTATAATTTCCTTAACACTAGATCTTACTAATAGAGATCTTTGATTAACAGTTAAGTATATGAAGTTTTATGCAATCTTTATAATATTTTGAAGTTAATTATTGCATATGTATGAAGTCAAGTCTTTTATTAAAGGTGATTCTTTGCTTCTAATTTTTAAGTTTAATTTTTGTTTGTTAATATCGATCGAAAATATTTGTCAAAGGTCTTTTAATGTCAAAGTCATTTCGATTCAGATTATTAAGACAATAAATGTGTAAATAATATTAACCTACATTTTTATCTTGAATTATTATCTATAGATTTTGATATGAGTATTTGATTAACATTGACCTAAATAGGACCTAAACATCATTAATCATAATTAAATCTTTAAACAAGATAATTTTATAGTTAATTAGTTTCAAGTTGACCATTCGATCTCTATAATATTTCGACTGCCTTAGCTGACTTTACTTAACAAAAATTTGACTGTTCAATTAATAATTAATTGGACAAATTAATATATTAATAAACATAATTTTCGGTTAAACATTTGAAAAAAATTAATGAATAATAATACCTATAACAATGTATACAAACTATTTTTTTTGTATATACGACATTTTTAGAGAAATAGCAGAGTAGTTACATATACCATTTTTCTTCTATTTTATAACTTTTATGTTCTTTATGCCTACTTTTTTTCTTTTTTCGTTTCTTCCCTTTTATATTCCCATGTCTTTTTACTGAAATATCTTGTTTTATTCTCACTAGTGTGTTTTTCCTATTTTCATTTGTAACTTCCTCTCATAAAATTTTCTTGGTTCAACCTACCGTAGGCAAATTTTGATAGCTTGCACACACTTTCTAAATATATATCCAAAAGGTAAAGTTTTGCTTCCAATACCAATTTATATACAACAAACAGCAAGTAGTTTGTGATGTGATATATATATTTTTAAACAATGTGAATGATTTAAAAAATTTACATAAGATTAAAGAAAAAAGAAATAGTTATTATTGCGTAGGTGAAGAAAATGGATGAATAAAAAAACATTTTATTGATGATCTTGATGCAAGGTGTTGTAAAGTTTAGAATGAGAAAATGAATTGATTCGTTGAAAAGAAAGTAATAATGAAAAGCATAAATGAGTGATATGATGTAAAAGGAGTTGAAGGAAAGAGTAAGAGCATGCGTGAACACTGAGGATGCTGACTGCATGTGAATGTATTATGTACCAAAGTATATTTCTAACAATGTGAATACCAAACACAACATAACCACTTTAGACAGTGACATGACAGTTAAGGCCAACCCTCTAGAAATTTAAAACAACCTTAGCTTCCAACACGTAGTTTGGTCATCTTTTCAAACTAATACAACCAATCTATCATTGCTTTATACAATCATAAGCTCGATGTGTCTTTCGATTATTTGAGAGGGCATTTGATACCCGTTCTATACCACCGACTGGGTTAATTAAACCTATAACATAAGACTGTTTATTGAGTTTGATTATCTAATGATATAACTTTTGACTCAATTCAATCTATGATTAATGAATGTCTACGTGTTTATTATAATTTTTATTCCATTTTCTGAAATATATGTACTTATATATATTTAAAGAGATTTATCTTTTTGGTGTCGTTTTTCAATTTTATCTTTTAAATATTATTTTAAATTAAAATAATTATTTTATCGAATTTACCCTTTAAGTAACTTATGATTTAACTAGAAAATGGATCTCACTAGAACTCACTGTAACAAAATACTTTAACTTTTCCCGTCTAGTCTATGATACTCTAAGTGAGTTTGTAAGTATAATAAAGTTTTCCAACTTTATCTTTTTAATATATTTTTTAATTAAAATAATTATTTTATTAATATTACTTTTTAAGTGATCATTTATTTAAATTTAATATTTTTAATTTGACCATTTTTATTAAATTTAACTATTTTTTAATTAAAGTTTTATATAAAAAATAAATAACTACATATAATAAAATTATAAAAATTATTTACACTTAATTTTATAATTATAATAACAACAATAATAATTTTATTATATTTATTATCATAATACAATATTAACGCAACAAAATATCAATAGTTATAATGTAATGGAACAGTTATTATTATTTTAAAGATAATGTGTATTAAAAAATTATTAAATCAGTTTAATGATTCATCCTATAAATGATTCAGAACACGTTTTATTAAGTTATGACGTAAGTTGGATTCACAACAATTATAATACACTTCTCTTACTTAACAATAACATAATTATAAAAAAAACACTTAAATGATGTTATTTTAATATATATATATATATATATA